GGTTCAGCGTGCCGGATACGATGAGGGTGTGGTTGATCGGGCGTCATCGGATAGGTGGCTGAATACTTCGTCATCCGATTGCCTCTACTTTAAACTTACCATAGTGCATCTTCTGCACCCAAATCTGGTGGCTCCTCAAAGTTTTCCCTTTTTCCTTAGAAAATGAAACACGTTTTTTTTACCGTGCTGACATGGAGCCCATGCCTAGAAGTGGCGAAGGCACTCCCTGCCAGGCCTGCATGCCTTTCGTTTTGGGGTGGAGTGAACGCGTGGCCCGCTTCTCTGCCAAAACACATCAAAAACCCGATGCCCAGTAATTTGCCTCGTCATTAAGGTGTTGAATGACGAGCGACTCCCTATCTTTCTGAAAGTCGCCCTCCTGCTCTTTCCCTCGAGAAGATGTAAAAAAACAATAATCTCCACCTTTTTTTAATAAAAATATATTAGAAATAAAAATAGAATAAGCAGAACGCGTTTTTACCGCGATTCGAGGCGATGACACGCCCGATCTCTTGGCGCGCCGCCTGAGAAGAGCTAACGAGACGAGAGTGGCGGGGGGGGAGGGGGAGTGTCACTGATGGGCGGTGGGGGCGGCCAGGGGGCGGCCAGGGGGGCGGCACATCAAAAGAGCTGGCCGGCCGGCGGCCAGTGCGGTGCGGCAAGGCGGCGCAGGCGGGGCGGAGCAGCGCCAAATGCCAAATGGCCATTTCTCGGCCCAGTTCGGGAGGAAGGCGGGCTCCAACTAGCCTGGCTCGACCCTAGGCCCGCGGCCCGTCCGGGACCCTCCGCGCGCCGCCACCACTTTCCCCACGCCGCTACAATGAGACGCGCGAGGCATATTACGCCTGCTTTTTGGCGCCCGCCGCCGGAGGAGAGGAAAGGTCAGCCGGCGGGCCGCTCTACGAGAGTTTAGCCGCCCATTTCTCACCCTTACTTCGTTTTTCGGGTGGAGATGAACCGTCGTTATAGCAACAAGCTGCGCCGCGCGGATTTCACTTCATCCATTTTTCACAACCCAGATAACAGCACGGAACGCAGCTGGCATCTGCTGCGGGCGCCTTTACTCGGTTCGGATTTGCTTCCCCAACACAGCAAACATGCATTTTGTTTGTGTTATGTGCACTCAAAACTTATGTTGCATCAAAATCTGATTGCTATACTATTTTAGCTGCAGGTACCATGGTTCTTTTATGGAATGGACTCGAAGGGACTGACGCCAAAGGAATATCAATGGTGTGGGTACTTCACTAAAACAAAAAATCGATGTACCCCCTTAAGAAAAAACCGCAAAAAAATCAATGGTTAATCAATTTTTTAAAAGGGCAAAAATACCAGAAAATATTAAAAAAAGGAAAAATCAGTGAAATTGAAAAGAAACAGAAAAAATGTGTGTTGAATTGGCAATGAGGCACCCCTTTGGTATACATGTAGATGGCGGCCGTGTCGCGCGCTTGGGGCAGCCCTCCCTCTCCCTGCCCCTGTCCTGCCCAGCACAATGAAGTTCGTGTCCGGGGCGGGGCGGGGCGGGGCGGGGCATGATGCAACTCTCCCACGCATTGTGCGGTGCGCTCGGGACGCACGTGGCCGTCGTGGAGCGATATTGCAAGCGGCTATCTTGTTCTTGTCGCCCCCCCCCCCCCTACCACCTCTCGAACCCTTTCTCACACATGCTCCTTGGACATGACGGTGTGCGGGGGAGCTCGGGCAGCACCCACCTCCTGCTCGCGAGGACGAGGCGAGCACGCGCTCCGGCTCGAGACGATGCACGGCGTCGGCCTGGAGGGCAGAAATGGCCCTGGGGATATACGGGCAGCCTTACCGACTGCATCAAAGATTTTTCGACCATTTTTTTTTTTTGTTGCATTTGCTGTACCGCATTCACGCGTGTGGGTTGGTGGATCGCCTACTCGATATTCGCTGCGCTTTGCATTGCGAATTAAATCCTGCACATTGCGAACTAGTTGCTTCGAAAAAAAAAAACTGTTCGTAACGCTGCAAAGAATTAGTTCGTGACCGTAACCGTGAAAACTATTTCTTCGCAACTTACGAAAACTTGCGCAATGCAAACTTCCTTGCTTACATACAAGAATACTTCAAAATTCTTTGGAAGAGTTTTTCAATGCCCGCCTTGTACGCAGAGATATTTTCAGTGTTCTGGTCAAAATATGTTATTTTGTCTTCTATTTTAAAAATAGAGAGAGAGGTCACCTCCTTCCTCTTTTCTGTACAAGAATTAGTAGGTTTGTACTGTTTTCTACACTGCGACACTTCACCGTCAGCGTTTGAACGTACAACACAAACGCCGCGCTTATTGCGCTTGTTCGTTCGCTCGACCCTCTCTCGATCGATGTCGATGATGAAAGCTTGAACTCGAAGCTCGAACTCGAACTCGAACTCGAACAGTCTTTCGATCATCCGATCTGCTCTGTTGTTGTTTTGACGGGTATTATTATGAGTAGATTTTATCCTTGATTAACATTGTCGTGCCTAAAAGAAGTGAAAGAAGTTCAAATTTCTCTCTTCAACTCATAACGTAGTAGGGCAATTTTGAATTTCTTAATCATTGGTGTTTGTACCTTGTGAACTAACCTATAAACCTATAAAACATTTTAACCAAAACTAGACTTGGTAACCTGCTGCACCATGGATCAACCTAAAAATGTGCCACTATCTGAGATACTTAAGAGTAAACAGAGTCTTGATCAAATCGAAGATGATGAACCCAAAAAGAAATCCAGGGAAGACTGGCGCAAGGCCAAAGAACTTGAGGAAATGCGAAAGGTAATTTTTTTCTGATATATTTATTTATTTTTTGTGATTTCTTCTACGTATAGAAGGGTTTGCTTTATTTTCAATTGATAAATTTTACAGGCAGGTACTGCTCCTGCAGCTGTTGACGAAGAAGGACGTGACATTAACCCTCACATTCCACAATACATCTCGGCTGCGCCATGGTACTATGGCTCTTCGGGTCCTACATTAAAACATCAAAGACCACAACCAGAGAAGCAGCAAGAGTTTTCAAAGTTACATGAGTGGTATAGAAAGGGTGTTGACCAGGTACACATTTTTGCTAACAGATACATCTTATCTGCTAATACATTTACTTATTCAATTTCATTTTCCTGTAACAGACAAAGGCTGCAACCAAATACAGAAAGGGCGCTTGCACCAATTGTGGTGCCATAACACATAAAGCAAAGGAATGTATGGACCGACCTAGGAAAATTGGAGCCAAGTACACAGGTGCTGCAATTGCTCATGATGAATATGAACAGCCAGATTTATCCCTCGATTTTGATGGCAAACGTGATAGATGGGCTGGTTATGACCCGTCTGAGCATCGCGCTATTGTTGAAGAATATCAAAAGATAGAGGAAGCAAAACGAGAAATGAGAGCCCAAAAGCTGAGTGCTGAAGGCAAAGAGGGTGATGCAGTTGAGGTAAGTGTATTCCCCAGAAGTAAACATTTTCTGTACTAATTCATCTTTACTTGCCTAATTGTTTCTTCATATTTCTTTGACAGCATGATGACTTAGATGATGATGAGGATGAGGACAAATATGTTGATGAGGTAGACATGCCTGGTACAAAAGTTGACAGTAAACAGAGAATTACTGTGCGTAATTTACGTATTCGAGAAGACACTGCCAAGTACCTAAGAAATTTGGATCCTAACTCAGCATATTATGACCCCAAAACAAGATCTATGAGGGATAATCCTAATGCTGGAACTTCTAAGGAACTTGATAAGTATGTAACCCTGGACCACTTTTACTATCTAATAATTTGTTGTTGTTTTTTTTAATTTTACAGAAGTTTTCTAATTTACGCAATTGTTTTTATTTTCAATTAGTGAGTATAAAGGAGAAAACTTTGTTCGATTTACGGGGGACACTGGCAAACATGGTGAAGCACAGTTGTTTGCTTGGGAAGCATATGAAAAAGGTGTCGATGTTCATTTATTGGCAGAGCCAACCAAGTTGGAAATGTTAGAACGAGAATACAAACAGCACAAGGAAGAATTTAAAGGGAAAGTGAAAAGTGATGTGCTTCAAAGATACGGGGGAGAGGAACATCTGGATGCTCCTCCTAAAGCTCTCCTTCTTGCCCAGACTGAGGACTATGTTGAATACTCTCGCACTGGCAAGATCCTTAAGGTTAGTTATCTTTCCCATTTCTCTCCAGATCTTGACTTCTCACATACTTAGTTTATTCCTTGGTTAAGATTTAATTTGAATAACAAGAAGGATGGGATGTGAATTTCTTCATAATATTTATGTATTGTTTGCAGGGTGCGGAGAAGCCAGTAGTTCGATCAAAATATGAAGAAGATATATACCCAAACAATCATACTTCAGTTTGGGGCTCATTTTGGAAAGATGGACAGTGGGGTTACAAATGCTGTCACTCATTTATCAAGGTATTTAATCCTATCCTACGATCATATTATCATTATGATAATTATTTAGCATTATAAGAATAATTTACTGTCACCATATTCTCATCTGATGTTGTTGTTTTTCCTCAGAACTCATATTGTGTTGGTGAAACTGGGCGCATCAACATTGGTAAGATTGAAGTATCTCAGAATCAATTGGAAAAGGATACCCAAGCAGCAGAGGCAATATCTGAACCCAAAGAAGTCAAAGACAATACTGATAGCAGTAGTGAAAGCAGCAGCAGCAGCAGCTCATCCTCAGAGGTAGAGACACTGGAAATATTATATCTATTTATCCAGGGATCAATTAAAAGACATATTTGTTGTACTTATAACTCTTTTAATACTTTTAATTTAGGATGACTCAGAAACAACTAAAAAAGAGGCGAGGAGAAAGAAGAAGCGAAGTAAGAAGAAGAAGCGTAAGGATATGAAGAAGAAGTCTAGAGCTGAGAAGAAAAACAAGGAAACTGAAGAAGACAAATTAAAAATTGTATGTACATTACCTTTGTTACTCTAATTGGGCTCTGATTTCACCTGAATATTTTTTTTGATGTTATTTTGGTTTAATCTTTCAGGCTCTCCAAAAAGAAGAGGAACAGCAAAGAGAAGCAGAACGTTTGCTGGCCATGGATGAGAGAAAGAGACCATACAACAGCATGTATGATGCAAAGAAGTTGACAGATGAAGAAATGGAAGCTTATTACATGAAGAAGAGAAGAGATGAAGATCCAATGGCCCAATTTTTAAGTTGAATTTAAATGATAGACTGGAACTGCACTTCAGTTGTTAGCAATCTTCCTAATTAAATGCCATTTTTAGCTCAGCATTCTGATATATGCTTATTTGAATTATTCATTCATTACAGATTTGATGTTTGAGGAAACATTTTGAAACATTCTAAAAGTTATTGTGTTTGCATAATATTTAGTTCCAGGACAGTCACTTACAGCAAAAGGCCTTTGATTAAGGCCATATGATTATAATCATTTCAAAAACTACATTTTGTTCCAAGTTCTTCAAATTTATAGAAATGAGATGCATTGTTACCAGTAATAAATAAAATACTTATCAATATAGTTAAATTCTACGAGGTTGTTTTTTTAAATTGGACCGTTTGTGTTCTTAGAATATATTTACAGATGGACAGCTCTGCTTCCAGTGAACTATTTTCATTTCTTCATAAAGTCAAGAATCCCATTACATTTTAATTATTTTTTTTTATCCTTTTTAATGATCTATGTCTATCTTTCTTAATTATGCTGTATTTAAATTTTACCCAGTAGGCAGTTTTGAACCAGCCATTTTTTTTTAAATTTTTCTTTTTTTGTTTTGTTTGAGGAGAGGCGGGAGTCTAGACAAGCCATTAACGCCCATGGTTTTTGTTTTTTTTCTTCTTTGCCTATCCCAACCCATGGGGCAAATGTCCGCCATTTCAGTCTGATCAACACTTAATCTTCAAAGCTTCATGGTGGGCGCCTCAGTTAAGGCAAGGCAGCTCGCTTTAGAGGTTTTGGACAACTGTGATCGGCTAAACACGTCTCACGAGATGAAATCCTCCATAAGTGTTTTTATTTTTATTTTAAAATTAGGTATTATTTTTTATGAACAGTTACCTTTATTTTTCTGTCACTGTCTATTTGGAATTTTCCTATATAAAAAGTCAGGATAGTAAGGAGGGGGGAGGGGGGGTTGTCATACACTTAAGGTTGTCCTACAAAGAAACGTTCCTCGAGGTGATCTGATGACCCGAGGGACGGTTGGACGCCTCATGCCTCAAACAAACAACGCATGGCTGCGCAGCGGGTTGGCCTACCCAGCCCGTGACAGGCGCTAGCATTAGCCTCGGGAAAACTTTTATCCTAGGGGCACCTACAGACAGTGAAATGTAGAAAATATGCAACGAACAGCGCAAAACCATGACATTTAATTTGATATTTAATCGAATAAATATAATTTGTTGTTTATACAATGTTAAATGTTTCTCAGGAGAGCTCTCTATAAAACGGCGAGAACCAAAACACACTCTACACCCTACCCTGCTTCACCCAGTAATAATACGTGATCTGTTAAATGAGATCTTTAACTGCAGTCATCCATAAACTTTCTCAAAAATAACCTTTTTCGGTAGTACTATCACCGCAAAAAGAATTAAATCCTTTCTGCTCGGAATATCGATGAAATATTTCTGCGCTGATTGTACAACTAATCACAAATCGAGGGGGCCGCAACTGGGTTCCAAGCGTGTTCACCGTCCGCCCAGAAAACTGGTAAGACCCACAAAAACTTCGGATATAACCAGGACCTCACCGAAAAACTTCGAAAACCCGAACACCGGCACATCAATGTGTTGCGGAACCCTCGCTACAAATCCAGTTAAATATGCACTCTCACAGCACCTCTAGTAGCACGGACTATTTTAACAACGTTCTCCCTTAAGACGCGCTCGAACTTACCAGTAGCTCATAATTCAAAATTTATATATTTTTTTGAACAATTTCCGTATGATATATCATCAATAAAATACATAATACACAAATTATCACAGCTCGCACTGTAGGACATTTTGTAGCAGCATGTATGACAAGTAACAAACCATGCAGCACTACAAATGTGTTCAAGTACAACACCGGCACATTGACAGCAATAAGAGTCCATCCGAGCAAAATCTCATTCCAAAAATATTTCACTTTACCATAGCAATATACATACACATTCTTGTTTCTCATAGTACGAACATCTCCCGCAACACCGCTTTTACAGCCAATTTAAAAAAAATATAAAATTTAATTGGAAAAATGTTTGTTTTGATTGTAATTACACCGTTGACTTGACTTTCTCCCGTGGCTCGGACGGGGTGGGCGTGGGCGCCCTTCAGCTGTGGCTGTGCTTCCTGTCGTTCACCTTCCCACCAGCGCCGGCCTAGTCGTGGTGCTGGCGCACGGCGTTGCAGCGCTGGAGGTGTTTGCCGGTCTGACCTGTGTGGACAAGAGGACGTCGCCATTGCGGTTAACCCGAAAACGTCATACATTTCATCTGAAACGTAGGACGAAAATCCGTCACTGCCGGGCCATCACAAAAGCCTCGACAAAGCACAGAGGGCCTTCCCTTTATTCGCTGGAACCGGCCGGTATCTCCCCAGTTTTATCTCTCGCCCCTTCTCCCTCCCCTGCTCCCGCCCCTTCTCCCACCCCTGCTCCCCTGCTCCCCTGCTCCCTCCCCTGCTCCCGCCCCTCCTCCCACCCCTGCTCCCCTGCTCCCCTGCTCCCTCCCCTGCTCCCGCCCCTGCTCCCGCCCCTGCTCCCTCCCCTGCTCCCTCCCCTGCTCCCGCCCCTGCTCCCTCCTCGCGTCCAGGTTGGCGCCTCCCAGCCGTGCCGGGCCGTGCCCCGGCGTGCCCCTTGTTGTCATCCAAATGCCTGACTCATTATGGCCCGTCCCAACATCACGAGCGCCATCCACGCCGGCAGAGCCTGGTTCATAGAAAATCTGATTTTGCTCGCCTTCCTCGTCTTCCACAGCCACCCCCCACCACCAGGTCGATCACGTTCCGCTGTAGCCATGGCACCAGAGCCCCGTTCAAATCGCCTAGACGGTCCTCCGTTCCTACTCTCCGTTCCCTCCGTTGCCAAACTTCCAACACAGCTGTCCAGGGGGGGGGGGGCGGAGGGCCGTCTAAACAGTTTGAACGAGGCTCGGGCGCCATGGCTGGGATCCGTCCAGAAAGTACGTTCGTTTCTCTCAAAATCATCCTGCAAACTACAGAAGCTCGGCGCCTGCAAAACTCGGGGTAGGCCTCCCCGCAATACACGCATGCACTTGCATGCAAGATTGTGCCTACCCATCAGGCGCCATGAGAGCTTGCATTGCCTTAACTTGGAGGGTCCGTAACGGCGAATGACGGACGTACTTTCTGGATGATCCCTGAAACGGAACGTGATAGACGTGCAGGTGTTGTGTTCGCTCTGCTT